TTAATTCAACCGTGAGGAAGCGTGGACCTATTAAAAAAAAATAGCCGGTGTAATTTGCACGCTAAAGAGACAAAAACCGTGGAAAGAAAGTACAGAGGTGCGCGCCCCTCCCTCATCGCCTTTAATCTTTTGAAAATATATGACGTATTCGTGAATACTCATCGAGCTACTCGTTCCATATTTCAGGGGCGATTTAAAATTTTCGTGGACCTGTGTATTGTTCTCTCTGACAAGAGTGAAAATATGAACGAACGATGTGAAGTACTCTCGTGAGCAAATACTATTCGAAAATATCATTTTGTGAAATTTAAAAAAAAAAAAAAAAAAAAAAAAGAAAAGATTAAGTTAGATTAATATTTGTAGACTGAATTTTTATTGGATTTATGAGTTATTGTATGTATATTTATTTTTTAATTATTCAATTTTTAATTTCAGCAATTACCTGATAATGAAATTGTAACCTCGAAGTTTAAATCAATGGCAGATGTATCAGATTGACGATGATGCAGTAGTTGAAGCTGAAAATCTTTTGATGAGAAGATACAAAATTTTAAATTCAATCCTAAATAAAAATACTTGGATATTAATATAAAGAAATATTGTTTCCAATTACGTAATTATTATTTCAAAGAAAGTTTTATTAAAAGTGTATCATTGGAACAATATAAAAATATTTATTTCCCTCAACCTTACCTCATAATAATTTCTCATGTCTATTCTATGAATATGTAAAATGCTTAAAAAAAGAAGGAAAAGAAAAGAAAAGGGAATCTATCCTGTGAGGGGAAACCGGAAAATTAAAAATTCAATCGAGAATTCGAGGGAAATTGTTCTTCTTCTTTTTTTTTTCTTTTATACACATATTCATTCCGGGCGGTGATTAGTTGAAAAAAGAAGAGAAATCTGTAAATCGAGGATGAAAAATTCATCGGGCAGCAACGGGCTCGAATTAAAAGTTTGAAATAAGACTTAGTCGAAGAGGAAAGTTTACCGAAAAATTTGTCGCGAATCGTGATTGCATTAATTTCGCTTCCAGCTTTGGAAATTAATCGATACTTTTTCTCGTTAACCATTTTTAAAGACTTGCTACTATTGCAAAGTTAAATATGAGTATCGCAATGTCTGAGTATTGGTATCATATTCTCATACTTTCAATTACGGATTTAGAAAATCTTAGATATTCCTTCATATTTTATTTCTAGTTTCAATTCTTATTTCTTTCTTTTTTTTTGCTGGATTATTTTTACAATTATTTATTCCATCTGAATCTGAAATAAAAAAATAACGATATTATTCACTATTCCAATTAAAATCAAGTTTTTGTATACTTACTTAATAACACAGGATTGAAAATAGCAATTTGAAATATAGTTCAAATAATTATTTTATATATTTCAAATACTTTCAAATTAAATAAAATAAAGAGATATAAAATTTACTCAAGTCTCTATTTTTCTTTCGTACTTTACTTTCCAATCTTTTTTTAAATTTTTTCCTCACTTTCTATTTATAAATTCCAAAATTAATTCTACTTCTCGAAGGAAGACAAATTATACAACGTTACAAAGCTATTCCGTCAAATCTAAGGCAAAATTGTATCTCCAATTAACGTAAAACCGCTTTTGATAAACGATTCCCCTTAAAAACCTGGAAACTCCTCGATCACAGAACAGAAAGGGTACAGAAGCGAATAATTAATTTACCGCGCAATCTTCTTTATTATTCTTAATTGATTCATCGATCGAGGAAGTTAAAGTTCCAATGCGATAAAGGCGAAGGGGTTGAAAACGCGAAAAGGGGGATGAAAAATACGCGTAAACGAATTAAAAAACGTGGACAAGCTTGTCGATGGAAGAGTGCTACGATCAGTGTCGAGTTAATGAGAAATCCTTGTTATTGCCAACATCTCCAATTCCACCCCATTTTCACCCTATGATATTTATTATTATACGTTGCAGTCAATGATAGGATGAAATATATTACGAATATGTTCGAATTTAATTAATAAAACTTCGAATTCCTCATGAAAAAAATTTCTTTTTTTATTTTATTTAATCAGTCTAACATACTCGTAATTTTTCTATATGATGATTCTTTTTTTATTGTACGGTATTTTTTTTTTACATTACTATATAAAATATTTCTATTACTATAGTGAAAATATTGATCAATTTGAATTTAAATAGAATTCTTTTCCAATGCTAGATATTGATTCTTTAATTTATGAATAAATACTTCTACTTGATCAATTGTTACAAAAACTTGTGAAATACATTGTAATTCTTGAAGAAAAGATTTCATCTTGTTAGAATGAGATTTAATTAAATTGCTTAATAAATAAAACTGACAATTTGTTCTCTTTGGCCTCTAAAATTAATCCACGAATATATATATATTCTCAACATTCTTAAATATCCCAATTTCAACAAAATTAGCTTACAAAACATCTACATTTGATAAATATCACAAAACTGCATAAAATAAAAATCTATCCAATCAAACGTCCCTCGAATTCACGAATACACACACGTCGAAGAATTTGATCCCATCATCGTGATGCTAAACGCAATTTCTATTCACAATATTCCCCAAGGGAGCACGCATCCGTAAGTAGAACGCTCGACCACTGAAGAGATTTTAGCTAAATTAAAAATCCATCCCACGACTTTCCCTTCCACTCCTTACCCCGCGTCCCAACCCCTTTGTGCCGCGTCCCAGAGCGTCGTCGACCGCGACAGGGGTGGAGGGAAGTTGTCTGTCTTCCGGAAGAAAGCAACAGTGACATTAAATTGCGGCGTCTTTTCTCGACGAGTGACGATAAGAGAGGGCAAGTTTCCATGGGACTTTCGCTGATATTGCTCGACGGCGTAATCGCGCGATTACCGCCCGATTGAAGAAGTTTCGTCACTCTTTCGCGTATGCTAAATCATCGCGTGTATTCAGCCCCTCTTTGTGTCGAGTTTCGCTCTTGGATTTTTTTTTTTTAATTAAATGTAAGGGAATGATTGATGCACGAGGGAGGAATGTCTTATTGTTGGAAAGTGTTTGTCATTCTTTGGGATTTTTCATATTTGGGAAAGGCGCAAACGAAGTTTTTTTTGTTTAAGAAGAAATGGAGAAAGGGAGGATTGGAATAAATGTGAGAAAGGAGTAATTAATTCAAATAAATTTATTTGAGAGTTAAGTCTAATTGTTTGATTATTTCAAAATAAATGGTAATGAAAATGAATGATGAATAATAATGTTTTAATGTAGATTAAAAATTTATTTATTATATCGAATATAATAAGTTTTAATATCCCAAAGAGGATTTCATTTGTAGTTTTCGTTGCTCGATATAAGTCTAATTCCACGATCAATTTTTAATTAACATTATAGTAATAATGGAATTCTGTTCCGAGAATGTATACCTGCTTTCGTAATTAAAATCAAGCGATGACGAGTGATTGACGATTGATAATTAAATTGAGAAAATGCGGCAATTTTCGCAAGAAATGGCTTCAGTTATACGCCAATGTTAATTCATTTGCGTCGAATATAATTCCGATTCATTTCGAAGATTAATCATCAACGAATAAATCTTTTATTAAAACAAAAATCAATATTAATTTATTCTTACGATACATTTTCCATTATCAATGGTAACCCAAAAATGTGTTATCATTAACGTCAACTTTATCTGAAAAACAATAGACGCGAGATAATCGAATATCATTCTCAGAGAAATAATCATTGTAACGAATAATTCTATAAATCTTTTGAATGAGGCGAGATGAAAGGGATGGTGTTCGTTCCCTTGCAGTAGTAGGGTTGGATGTTCATTAGCCAAATTATTGAAAGTGGAGAGAAATTTTCTCAAAGTTTGTCCCGGGATGACAACTGGAACGGCCAATTCCGCAGGCAGTGAGTAACATTCTGTTTACACGGAAAGTAGTTTAACGCGAAAATTATGATAGACAGATTACCGAGTGGAAATGAAATTAGTCCTCCAACTCGTTAGACAAGTTAAGAAATCGAAGAAAATGATGAACTTCTCGATTGTATTGTGCCGGAAATTTATCGAAATTTAAATTATATATCGATCATTCGCAGATGTATTTAGAATATTACAAAATTCAATATTTTTAGAAATTTAGACAAGAAAAAGAAATAGAAATTTTTTTTAAACAAGAAAAGAATTTAAAGAATTATTATACACGTGCTATATACGCTGTATTGATTATATTAATATATCTTTCTGTATCCGAAGGAATTAATTAATATTTAAAATTTTCAAAAATATCGATAATGTTTTTTTCTTCATATTTCGAAACTTGGAAATAATCACGAAAGCTTTTTTCGACCTCCTGTTTCACGATGATACGGGGCCAAAATTTTTTGCGAATATTTTATCAATAGAGATAATTCACTTTCATAATTTATTAAAAGAACAGATAATTTGAGGCTGAACAAATAGACAGAAAAAAAAAAAAAAATGTTGGCCGAAGAGAAAAATTCAATATCATACGTGAGATTAAAATTACAAATCCTTTCGCGGAATAAAATCGAAGACAAAGGAGTGAATTTGACATCAATTACGTAGAATATTATAACTTTCAGATATTTTCTAAAAAACAAATGATTATTAAAATTTTTATCGAATAAAATAAATGAATAAAAATTCGAGTCTTTTACGATCAAAATGAAATATTTATAATTTAACTGAAAGTTCAGAAAATTTTTAATTTAATATCTCATTAATATCTCGGATAAATTCTACACGATACAATTACAAAAAGGATTTGCACGTATATTAATTAATTTAATCCATTATATTTTATTATTAATTATTTAATGATAATAATTTCATATCATACTATGAAGATTCATTACTATGAAAAACACAGAGCCAAATGAGGAAATGCTTCATTTGAAAATAAGAATAATAATTGTACACGTACAAATAATTTCCAATTTATTTGCAATCATCCATTAACACAAATAAAACATGTTAAATTAAAAAAAACTTTTTTTTTCTCAAACAAAAAATAACAAATACTTTTTAACTTCGAAACTCGACGAAACGTTAATTAATTAAAAACTTCTTCCCAAAATATTCGCACGTAAAATCGAATAAAAACCACCTAAAAAAATGAAAAAAACTATCCATCAATTCCATCATATCTCAAGCAAACAGAACGACTTTCTGATTACGACAAATTCGAGGGGAGAAATTAATTAAAAAAAATTCAGGATTAATCTTGGCGTCGTTTCAAGGTCTACGTCTTTCCCCAATTAATAAGAAGTCGAGGCAGGAAGATAGGTAGACAGGAGAGGGAGGTGAAGGAATCAACGCCATAAATGCCTATAGGAGGGATGTCTAACGACCGACAATTAAATCCTCGTCTCAGTGAGACGAGAGCAAAGAGGCGCTTGCATTATGTATACGAAGCTTTCGAGAGAAAAAGAACGAGTTTGAGAAACGAGATGGGGAGATACGATGAACGGAGAAGAAAAGAGGAAAGAAAGAGGAAAGAGAAAGAAGAAGAAGAAGAAGAAGAATAAGAAGAAGTCGACATCCGAATGAATGCGATATTGTTGCTATCCGCAGAACGGCCGCAAGTTTTGTATCCGCACCAGCCTGCAGCTGTCCTCTCCTATTCCCCCACCTCCAACCCTCGTCCACCCTCGCAAATAGCAGTTTGACTCGACTATGGAATAAATTAGCCGTGCTTTTCCAGAGAACGATGGAAAAGGAGGGGTTCAGAAAAAGTGAGGGATCACCGTTCGCCAGAGGGGCGGTGAGGGGGGTTGGAACGAGGAGTGGAGGAGATGGGGTGACACGGATGGGACGGTTTGCTTATCAAGAAACAGGGGTACTTTGTCCCTTAGGCGGTCCTTAATAACAAATTCATATCTCTACGACCTCCTGCTCTTCGTTCAACCCCCCTCCACCACCACCCTCCCGCTGTTCATCCCTCACGAAATCCCCACCAAGGGCGAATCCCGCAACCAGAGTCACCCTTGGCCATGAGGTAAAGGCTCTCTTTCTCTATCTCTTTCTCTCTACTTTCGGTCGGATTACAAATCTCTTTTTTATGCCGCTTAATAAAACTCGCCTGACATATCTCTGACTTCTACTACTTAATTTCGCCTCCCACTGTCCATCTTTCTTCCTTTTTTTTTCTCGGTTTATTTTATTTTATTTTTCTTTCCTTCGTTATTTCGTCGATTGTATACGTCGATTCTTTCCGTTTCTTTGTTCCCTCCATTTCTTTCCATCTTACAATTCCTTTCTTTGCGTATTTACGTATCGTACGTGTCGGTGTTTGTACATGTCCATCTTCGTTGTTACGCGACTGTCCTCGTTCACGGAGGAACGAGCATCCCTTTTGGGACCTTTCTAGACCACGTCGAGGTTATTTTACTCTACCACGCGGACCGGGAATGAATTCGAATTCCTTTCGAGTCTTGGTATCCCTTTGTAGCCGATGTTTCGAGGAAGAAGATCGATTTTCCCCGTGAAGGACGAGATAGGAAGAGATAGGAAGAAGATCTGTCGGTATCGTAAAGAACGAAAGGAAAATGTTTCTTTTATTGTTCTTGACTTTCTTTTTCCATGTATGATATAATCGTTTTTATATTATCTTTACGATTAAAAAATGTTCTATTATTTCGTTCGTATATTTCTTTGATTAATTATCCTTGTAATCGAATAAAAATTTTCTGTGCAAATATTTTATGTATAAAAAGATCGCCTCGATAGAAATTAATAATTTTAATGAATGAAAATTTACTTTAATAATAACGGAGTTATGTGTATATTAAATATTCCGTAATTTTTTGATTAAATAATATATAATTATACGAGAAATATCCGAATAATATCTGTTAGAATTTCCTCATATCTAAAAAAAATCGAGCTATGTTAAAACAAACATTAAATATTCTCTGTTTCCCGGATTCCACGAAATAAGACCGTTGAAAAAAAAGAAGAGAACGAAGCAATAAAGGAAAGCAATAACATGAGAAATTAAACATTATTACAATCTGAATTGTTAGAGTTGTGATGGAACCGAATGAGAAAAATCGAGGAAAGAATTTAGACAACTAAGTCTGAATAATTGTGACCAAGTTCGGCTCGATGTTTGCAAACCCCAAGGAATAATACCTTTATATCCCTTTGTTTCATGAAAGCGACCAATTAGTAAGTAATATTCGTGTCCGGGAGGGGTAAAAACTCTCTGAGCTATTGTGTGTACATTTAAAAATCTCGCCAATTAGAAAGCAATTTCCACGGAACACGATGAGAATTTCCCTCTGGTATATACCGGGTATATTTACCCCCGTTTTTATTTCCTCTTTCATTCCATTCCTTTTTCTCCTTTTCCTTCTTCTTTTTTTTGCCCCCTCTCTCTTTTTCTTTTCCCGACAAAGGTAATTTTACGTATGCATCCACACTCGAATCGGATAGAATTAAGATTTCGTTTCTCCAGCCTATTTCCGAGTATCGATGTCTCGTGCAACTATCCCATTATGTGTGAAAAGAATATCTTTAAAATATTTGATATTTATCCTTATTGGTTGTTTTAATTTCTGATGATTTTTTCGATTGAAAAATTCAAATTCAATATAAATTTTCAGCCAATTTTATAATATCTCTATTATACAATTTGATATTCGTGTTTGGATCCCAATAATTTTTAATTCCAATCTACCTATTCGAATTTTACTATTAATAAAACCAGTAAATCAAATTCAGTGCAGTGATTAATAACCCTATGTTACAAAATATATGGACATCATAATCAAACTCCTCAATTACTACCATAGATTATGCTTACTACCAGGGATCGCTAATGGCCGCTCCATAAGGTTCAATCAGTTAAACTCGAACGTTCAATAACTAATAATGATCAACGATGATAAAAGTTATTAGTTACGCTTTGCCATTCGAAATTATTCGATGATTCTCGAAACACAACATCAAATTCGATTATTCGACGTATGCTTTCAGCGGCTGGTTAATTTCCACTGTCCCTTATATCACATAATAATTCAAAATTACCGCTCTGGACCAATGGCCGAATGGTCGATCGACCGGCTGGAAATTGTATCCAATGTTGGTAACATCGGGATCTATGATCAAAGACTGCTACCTTTCCACGATCAAACGATGCTTAATGTTGCTGTTGTTCGTATTCAAACAACCAGTTCAATGTAAGAGCTATTGTTGTTTCCAATATATTGATCAGTTTCCTATTGACCTTTGCGTATTGTAGATTTCCTGCTGGTGCATTAATTAGGTCGCGGCCATTATTAACCCTTCACTCGAGTGGAAAAGACGAACTCGTCCTGTTCGCGACGAGAAGCTGAAGAGATTGGTATAATGCAATGTTAATTGCTTAAATTGTTTTGTATGAAATGTGATGCTTCTGTCAATACGATAGAAGAAATGTAACAATGAATGAAACGATATTTTTGGATCATTTTTATGAAAAAATTTCATTACTGAATGATAATAATGATTTTGTGAAACGCAGCTATTATTGAGGAATTAGAAAATGTTTGAAGAAACAAGAAATTAGGAAATATATGCGAAAATATTTGAAAGAGTTATTTAGAAAGGAATATAAAATTAAATTAATTATTCGACTAGAAAACGATGAATTCTTTTTTCATTTCATTTCAAATATTTCCACATTATTGACGAATGAAATGTAAAATCTGATCGATAAGTACATTCCTCTTTACGAATAAAATTCTTCCATCGGAATTAATTGGCGAGATTAAATCCTGATGGTATTTAGTCTCAATTAGAGATATGTTACTTTTATTCATATAGATCCTATTAAATCGGAATATCTTTTATTTGGACCCCTACAACATTTTCAATCTATTATCTAATATTATACAAAATTATATGCAATAAAAATTCAAATAAATATCCCCATACAAACTTTGTTAAAACCGAATATATAATTTCTACAACATTTATATTCTTCGAAGCAATATAATTTTCATCCCCCCGTACCACCAATTTTTTAAACGTCATATTTCTCAAAACGTCAACCATTAAAAAGATCGTAAAAAATCATTCCACATGTTTGACATACAAATGATCCGCGCAAGGAAGAGTTTCCACCACCAAGTGGCCACGAAATTTCCACGAATCATGACCGTTTTACAGAGGTAATCACCTACAGGGGGATAACTGGCAGCCTTTTTCTTGCCGGTGGCCTTTTATGCTAAACGCCCGCTTCATTTGAATGTCGCTAATGCGAAAAACCGATGCATACTAATGGAGAGCGGTCTCCAACGCTCTTTCTCACCCTACCCGGCCGGGGATGGCCGCGCTCAACACACCGAAATCACCCTCTCCCCACGCGTTCCTCGTA